AATAATAATAATAATAATAATAATAATAATAATAATAATAATAATAGCAGCAGCAGCAGTAGCAGCAGCAGCAGCAGAAGCAGCAGCTGCCTCTGAAGTTTTCTGATTAGATTTCCTGCATTAGCTATCATGTGAATCATATCTTGATGTTGTTGACCCACTCCTTTTTATACATATGACCTCTGCAATCCTATCTTCCATCCATGCTAATCCTGCTGGAGCACTTTGTGACCAATTATACTCCATTTGATGGGCAGCTGAAGAAACTGTGACAAGTCTCTCTCTTTCTCTCTATTACAGTTCACGGATCTGTGCTGTCCCTGGCCTCCAGCGCTTCCTCAACTTATTCCTCAGTAAGCTGTGTCCCCTTCATCTACTCTGTCCCGTCTTTCACTTTCTCTGTGCTTCCCCTCCCCTAAGGGTGATCTCCTGCTGCAGTCTTTCCAAATGGAAGTGTGGGTAAAGCTGACTGAGGGCTTGGCATGTTGTAACCACTGGGAATAGTAGCATTGTATAGCATTATACTTGCAGTATTGCTGTAAGGTACAGGGTATAATATGAGAGGAGGAGGAGTGAGGCTGGGTTCTTTGCATGGCTGATCACTTGTGTTGCCTGGGAATGCCGCCACCACTTTCACCCTAACTGCCTGCCTCTCTGTCTCTCCTCTACCCCATTATGTGCTGCCAGGCTGAGGAGAGGATGCAGTCAGAGGTACAGTAAGACCCTCACTTTACTTCCCACTGCTATTCTGCTCTTGACCATTGGTGGAGAGCAAGCAATCCTCCTGCTTCCTGACTCCCTTGTCTTTTCTCTCTCTTCCTCCTGCAGCAAATCCGCAAACTGCGCCGTGAATTGGAGTCGTCCCAGGAGAAAGTAGCCACGCTGACATCCCAGCTTTCAGCCAACGTGAGTGGCCAAATGGATGCAACGGCATAATGCGTCCTTGTTCTATGGAGTCTAAATGTTTTCTCCTATTTCAGGGCTAACCATTTCCTTTTACATATATTTTGTGTTCACAAGTAATTTAGGCAAGGTAAAAGAAATACAATGGAGATGCAGTTTTCACTAGATTTACTGGGTAGCTCAGCAAAGCTTGGCTGTCCTGAACAAACATGGTAGCCAGAGTTTTATCAGGATTGTATTGCTGCAAAACCCCAATAAATTATCACTGAAAATTAGAGAGGGTGTTGAGTTTTTGTGTACCCTTTCTTGGGCATCTATCGCTTAACTAGTACAGTACATCTCAAACTTTTGGAGTTTTGGGTTATATTTATTCCACCACCTTCCCCCAATCTTTCCCACTCTTCATCCCTCCAAATGTGTTGGGACTGTAACTCGGAGAATTGAAAAGTTTTTGATTGCTTATTCTGGGAATTATTGTCCTGAAAATCTGGAAGTCCACAGGTTAGGGAAAGCTTGCATGATGAATGGAGATATTTTCAGGCAGGTGAATCCAACCTATTACTAAGTGCAGAAGTCAGACGTCTCTGCTTCATTGGAATGTTGTTCCCATTCTTCCAGATTTGTCACACCTTCCAGTGGAGAATTACTTTATGATTTTGAAAACAAGGGTGCTAGTTCATAGGCAATAAAGGTGTGACTTTAGAGGCTTCCAGACATTGCTCACAGTTCCTGAATATCCATTATTTCTACTTGATAATGTACCATTAGGAATATAAGTTCCTTAGTAATATCAAGATAGATATTACCTACAGTGGCTGGCTATGTCTCTTTGGGGTTTTGGGCTGATATTTCTTGTCATCGGTTATGGAAATAAGTGAGGAACTGAACTTGGGACCTTTCAAATCCAAGTCATATCTTTCTTACCAGGTCTCAACACTTCATTAGCTATCAAAATGTACCCTTTAACCATGAGGTCAAGGAAGAACTTCTTTCTTTTCTTTCTAGCTCTAAACTTAGAACTAGGAGGAGGAAGAAAATGACCCCTCCCCCAAATAGCTGAGTGGTGGAACAAGGCAGTGATTTGTTTTACATCCTCCTTCTGGTTTGGAGTTGAGTTGCATTGGCTTGTTCTGTTTCCACAATGAGTGGACACACCAAACTTATACTGTCATCAACTGACTCTTTTAAGCTAGAACAGGGAGTCAGAAATGCGTCTGCTTGTTTCTGCCTCAGTGTCCAACCAGTGCTTGAAGCATCTTTTTTTAAAATTGTTTTTATTAAAAGATTTTACATCTGGAATAAGAAGTACATTCAAAGAAAAAGATATAATAAATATGAAAGGTGAAGGGAAGGGAAGGGAAGGGAAGGGAAGGGAAGGGAAGGGAAGGGAAGGGAAGGGAAGCAAAGGAAAAAGGCGATAGAAAGAAGAAAAAAAATAAAAGAACAGAAAACTTGAAAAGAAATATAAAGAAATGGCTTCTAATCTTCCTCTCTGAGGTTATACATACAATTTTAATCAAACCTCTCTCTCCCTAAGGTTGCATCATAATTCCCTTCTTTCTATAACCTATTGTTTCTATTCATCAAAGCTATAAGTCGCAAACTCATTTTCTTTTTTACACAAAAAGTCCATAAGGGGTTTCTAGTCATC